CCCGTTTTTGGTCCCATTCCCCACTCCACCCCCACAGAATGTCTCTGGTCCATGGTTGTTCATTATTTTTGTTATTTTCTCTAGGCCAGATGATTTTAAGGGACCATTCTAATCCTGACTATGATCTCATTTACAGATGTTGACTTTGTAGATGTTCCTTGCTCTTAAAATACAGTAAGATTCACAGGGAACAAATTTATTACCAACAAACTACAGTGAGTTCATCACTATTTACAATTCTGATTTAAAATATCAACTAGGTAAAGAGATATTACAACAAGAATTTTACTTAATGGAGTCAAAGCTGATGTGTGCTGGCAAATAGCTACAGTGTTTCTCAATGATTTTTTGAAAATTTTCAATAATAAGTGGAGGTGACAGTGCTGTAAAGCCTTGACAGAATGCAAAGGAGCTGAGATTGGGGTCCACAACATGGCCCTCAGCCTTTGTGACTCAGATTATGAGACCAGAGATTATAGAAGACTTTTCTTTTTAAAAACAGACTTGCTGTTTAGTTAAGGTGGGATTATTTTAAATACAATAAAAACATCCTAGTGAAACTAAATGTTGAGTGAAAGGAATGTTTATCTCATTTTGATAATTCAATGACTTTACGTGAGTTATTTAATATCCCAAAAGCAAATATCCTGAGAATGTGGGTATGTGATGACATTTAAAACATCAGTTTACCACATAGTCATAGCCCAAAGGAAATAACTGAAGACCCAACTAGTTCATGGTTTAGGCCACCTATACCTTTTATTGTTCCTCTTGACCGTATCAGGGCCACTTTATTCACACTCAAGCGCTCATTCTCCTCTCCTCCACACTCTACGGACATCTCTCCTGTGTGTTGCTACATCCACTCTGCCTGTGTCCTTGATCTGGCCCCTTCACTCTTGTGTGCTCTCGAGCTTCACAGCTCAGTTATTTGTCTCTGATCTCCACACTTACAAACTTCTCTAAGCAACGTTCTCCCTAACATGGAAAACAAGGGTGCCACCTTGACTCCCATTCAATGTCCCAACTATTCCATATCTGAATTCCAGGCCTTAAAATGAGTAGACTATAGAACTGTTCAACTGTATTTGAAATTTCTCACTGAAATGTCAAAAGTTCCTGAGAGAAACTCTAGGAAACCAGTAAGCATCTCAGCAGCACACTCAAACTCCATCACTGGGGTCAACTGATACAGAGAGTGAAACTTAGAGTAGGGGAGCTGTTGCCCCCTTTTCCCTGCATTTGTTCTCTATTTTTCTGTTGAAATGTCCATTTTATTTTCTTTTTTGGAATTGCTTACTAGTGAGAAATCAGTTAATTGCACCATGAGCGCATAATCAAATAAGTCTTATGCTCTCTTTTGGAAACAAAAAATTAGAGGAAGGACTTGACTAATGATGCTAGAATCTGATTAGGACCGTGCTACCTCTGAATTGAACCATAAAAGTAGGTTTTCTGCATTTCTAGTTTTTTTTTTAATAAGAATGAGTTTTAATGGTAACAGCATTAGCTGCAATAAAGCTGACTCAGTGCTAGAAAATCAGGAAGTTAGCTTTAGATTAAGGGGCTGAGATTTTTTTTTTAAAGGTTTATTTTATTTGTTTATGCATACAGCATTGGGGTACAGGCTAGAGGTGCAGGGGCAGTGAAAGGATTTACCAGAGAAAGAGTGGGGAGCAGAACAAGCCAATTAATGAAGTACACTGCAGAGGGGAGCAGCAGGCAAGACGAGAGATCTGCTGTGCCATATGGGTCAGCTCCTGGCCTGGGGATCAAACTCATGTTGCAGTAGCTTCATAGTGCTGAGACTTAACCCCTTGTGACAGCAGAGAGGGCCCATAGAACATTTCATTTTTTCTTACTCTTCCTTCACCATAAAAAGCATATGTTAATTTATCCCAAGAAACAGAAAAACTTCAATAAAAAGATTTACAACAGGAGAAACTGTGGGACTTAGGGAAGTAACCTCTTCTGCTATTATCACGGTTATCCTCAAACTGTGCCACCAGGAAGGCCCTCCTTTTGCTTTGTTGATAGTGTCCTTTGACACAGAAAGCATTTTAATTGTGAAGATGTCCAAATTCTCTTTTTTCTTTGCTTATTTGTGCTTTACATGTCATAACTAAGAAACTGTTGCTTAATCTGATGTCAAACATTTATATTTTACTCTAAGAGTTTTGTATGTTTAACTCTTTAAGTTCAGGTCTTTTCATCATTCTGACTTATTTTGTACATGATCCAAGGTAGAGACAGAAATTCATTCTTTTGCACATGGCTATCATCTAGTTCTAGCAGCATTATTACTTGAAAGACTATTCCTCCCTCCCGCCCCCGCAACCCATTGAATTGGCATCCTTGTCAAAACTCAACTGACCAGAAACATAGGGGCCTAATTCTAGACTCTCAATTTGATTCCACTCATCTACACATTTAAAGCTGTGCTATGCAATCTGATTACTGTAGCTTGGTAGCAAGGCTCAAAATCAGGAACTGAATCCTTCAACTTATCTTCCCATACAGTGACAAACTCTATCTACCTACACTCCTTTACGCCAAGCTTCTCACAAAGATTGTCTGCCTCCAATTAACTCTAGATACCACTCTACTATGGCTCTGGCCCAAGACATACTGAATTATCAATAACCACCATGACCATTTTTTGGTGTGCACCTTTCAACAGTATTTAATACAGTTGACCATTCCCTTGCTGGAACACTGGTTTTTTGGCCTCTGCAGTATCACTCTTGAATTTCCTCTTGTCTTTGCTTCTTCCTTCTTTGTATTTTATGGGGTCTTTCTCTTCATGAGCCTCTTTTAAACATGTTGCAGATACTTGAGGCTTGGTTCTTAGACATCTTTTTTACCAGCTTTTAAAAATGTGATCTCATTTTAAGCCAGAAAGAGAAAGAAAAATACCGGATGGTTTCGCACATAGCAGAAGTCTAGTGGACCAGGCAAGAAAATAATAAGAATAATGAACAACTATATGCCAGAGACATTTTGTGGGGGTGGAGTGGGGAATGGAATCAAAAACGGGGGTGGGGTAGTGGGGAGGGAAGTGCATGGGACCATGGTGATGGCACATGGGTGACTTGGTGATGGGAAACCCATGGGGATTACAATTGAGATGAAAAAAAAAAATGTACAAAATGATGTAAGAATAAACTGTTAAAAATAAAAAATAATGTGATCTCATTCATTTCCATAAATGTTAATATCACCCAAATTTTTAACTTCAACACAGGTGCCTCAATATTGCCCCAGACCTACATATCTCATCACCTGTCTACACCAGTCTTGGAAGTTCTCCCTGGTCTCTCAGACACATCTATAAGTGAATTCTTGTTTTCTCAGCCTTATTATCTCCCCTAACACACACACACACACACACACAACCACACATCCCTTAGATCTACTCTTCTCTAATTCCTCCCTTCAGTCTTTACAACTCAGCAAAAGCCATAAACTTGGTAGTTATTCAGATTTTCCCTTTCCTTTGCCCTCCCACTTTCAATCAATCAGCAAACTGCCTTGACTAACTTTACTCTGTATTGTTTCCAAGTTTCCTTTCTTTCATCTGGACTACTGCAGAAGTCTTTAATTGGTCTTCCTGCTTCTTCTGTCGCTGCTTTTCTGATTTAATCCTCATATAGCAATCAGAATTGTTTAAAGAGCATATGTGATCATGTAACTTCTGTACCAAAAACCTGCTACCTTATCTTAGAAATCTTTCATGATGTGGCCCTTGACTATTTCTATAAACTCATGTCTGTCTAAATTGCTACAGTTTGAACTTTAAAACAGGCAAGGGCTATTAGCTTTCTGTCTTCTGTGCTTGGCAAAATGCCTTATACATAGAAGCCACTTGAAAATGACAACTCTCGTTTGTTACTCATTCAATCACATGAAACAGGCATTACTGTTCCCATTTGTTAGATGAGGAAACCAAGGGTGGTAGGTTAAAGAGCTTTCTTAAGACCCTAAGTCAGTGTTCTTTCTACTACAGCTTCTTAAAGTGAAAGGTGCATATAAATGACCCCACAAAACTTGCATACTAAGTAAGCACTCAACCTCAACTTATTGGGTAAGAAATTACTATGCATTCTGAAAACCATGACAATAGCAGAGAAGGCCTATTCCCTAAGTCCCACAGTTTCTCCTGTTGTAAATCTTTTATTAAAGTTTTTCTTTTTTTTTGAATCAATTAACATAAGCTTTTTATGGTGAAGGGAGAAGAGTAAAAAAAAATGAAATAATCTATGGGGCCTTCCTGGTGGCACAATAGGTTAAAGCACAGTACTATGAAGCTATCCACAGCCATGCAGCAGGAACTCGATCACCAGACAGGGCAATGGCAGCTAAGGAGGCAGCAGAAAAGTCCTTATCATCCTGGCCCTGTACCCTAACAGTTTGGTTTTGGAACTATTTCCTAAATTGCTAACTCTGGTCAGAAGATCCTTCATTTTTAATTATTCTCTTCTTCAGAATTTCTGGCATCTGAAAGAATGAATATCTGCAGACAGGGTGATGTAACTGTGTAGTAAAAACTAGTACTATTTTTATTATCTACACATTTAAGAGGTACCCAGTGAGCGGTTACTTTCTAGTACTGTTCCAAGACATCATCTATCCTGATAATCCTCACCCTACAACTGAAGGGCTGCAGAACAGGAAATCGGAATGAACATTACCCTTAATCTTAGCTTCTGCCTTCTGAAAGCCCTGAACACAATTGCGTCTCCTGACGCCTTGTGCAAGCAATCGGAATTAACCAACAATAGGAAGTGGAGAATTCTTTCAAATGCATCTGCTTGGATAATGAATGAAATATAAGCAATTCTATTTCATGGCTGATAAGCGTGATGAACAGGCCCGGATGAGCTGCGTACAGGTGAACCCACGCCAACTTCCGACCTACAGATGAGTGTGGTCTACTTCCTGTGCAATCTCACGCAAGCAGCTCCTCTGATTTTCTCTTTTGTAGCAAAGAGAACGTATTGCTTCCTGTCCTTTTTCCCTCACAGAGTTGATGTGACTACGGGGAAATCGGACGTTGCGGAGGACGCTTCTTTACTCAATGCTTGGAGTCTTACCTATGCCCAGGGAGTGGGGAAGGGGTGTCACATGACAAACGCCGGCTTTCCTCTCAGTTCCCCACGAGCTCGGTCTAGAATGTCTCGTCTCTATGGTGGGTGCGCGTTGATTCCGGCGCGGCCTAAGTTGCTCTTCCGGGGTAAGTACAAGGACTTCCGGGGCGGGGCGGAGTGAGGTGGGTTTGTTGGGCTGTAGCTGCCTGCCAGCCCGGTCTTTCCCGGCTGCCGGCAGCAATGAGCTTCCTCAAAAGTTTCCCGCCTCCGGGGTCGCCGGAGGGACTCCGGCAGCAGCAGCCGGACACCGAAGCGGTGCTGAATGGGAAGGGCCTCGGCACCGGCACCCTTTACATCGCTGAAAGGTAGGCACGCCGTTCGTGAGCGCTGGCCTCCTGCACGTCGCCTTCCTCCCGCTGGCGCAGGCGGTGGCTGCCGCCGGACGAGACCATCACCTCGGGGGCCGTGGACCTGGGGTTGGGAGCGCGTGCTCCTTGTCGCCTACGGGATGCCTCTGCTGGGCGGAGGCTCGATTGTTCTAGCGTTCTCCTCTCGGAGGCTTCCTTTCTCTGTTAACACCAAGTTCTCACGGATTCTGCTTGTCTCTCGTTTACCAGAGATCTGGCACGTGATTGGCTTCTTTAGTCAAGACTTCTTTTAAGGGTTTTGCGTTTCAGATCCTGAGTTAGGGTCATCGAGGTGCCTATCTTTTCCAATGACAGGTGCGGGAGGTGATGTCTGGAAGGGACAGACGTGTAGGTTGAAAGCTGATGGTGTAGGATCTTGAAAGTTTGGTTAAGGATTATGGGTGAGGTTGGAAAGAGGAACACTCTCAAACTCACGCTTGCTGGAGTTATTTCCAGAGTGGCCTGACTCACATTTCGCATTTCTGAAACCCGTTTCTGATCCTAGGAGGAATTAGCCTTACGGACCATTTTTCACAGTCGAATAGAATGCCTTAACGGTTGCCATTATAGAACTGAAGTCCATGTTATCTGGACACGTGGTCCCATTCATGAAGCCAACATTAACACGTTGAATCCTTCCTGTCTTTCAGATTTCTTTGACATCCCCTTCTGCTGCATCGACTTGGTCTACAGCCAGAAACACATTCTTTTCTTTTTAAGAGCTCATGTGATTACATTGGGCCTAGACACAGTCCATAATAAGCTCCCTATCTTAATGTCAGCTGATTAGAATTACACCCACAAAGCCCCTTTTTTCCATATAATATAATATATTCATAGATTTGACACTAGGAAATGAAGGGGTGGGGGAAAACTCTGCCTACCACAGAGTGCAGGACACCAAAAAACAGGGAAGAAAGAAAAGTTTGGTTTACCCCTAAACATTGAAACGTTGAAAAACTTAGGCATTTGGTCATCCAAACATTGAAAGCTTAGGCTTTGGTCAGCACCCAAAATGAGAAATACAGAAGGGCAGGAGAGCAAGTATGGAGGAAGGTGCAGGTAATAAGTTGGGTTTGCACATGTGTGGATAAATTGGATATCTGAGTGTATCATTAGTGTAAGTGTTAGTATGTAGTCAGGGGAATAGATTGGATACTCCAAAAGAGAAAGAGTGCAAAGGATAGACCCTTGGAGGCATACACGGAGAGGTATGTTGTGAAAGAAGGGACTTTTGAGAAAAGGGAAGGGAGGAACAATTAAATATAAATTAATCAAATGTAAAAAGCATATATTGGTGGTCTCAGTAGAGCAGTTTATTTTAATTGATAGAGAGTGGAGCACAGATCCCCTTTTATGGCCTCTCGGTATAATAGCTCTCCTTTTGGGATAAAGTCTTTATTTTTTCATTTTGAGAAATTTTGAACCCAGAGAAAGTTGCAAGTGTTGCTAATATATATAGCATCTTAACAAAGATTCCCACTTGTTAATAATTTGCTGCCTTAATAACGTTCTTTGTTTTTCTAAGTTATTTTACAGTTGTCAGACATTTTACACTCTTTTCTGTAAATATTTCAGTATGTATCTCCTAAGCATCTTTATAATTACAGTGCAGATGGCACAGTCAGGAAGTACGTACTTCTTTTAAGTTATAATTGTGTAAAATCATTTCACCTTTTCACTAACAAAATCTCTCTTTTTTTTTAATGATTTACCTATTTATGCTTACAGAACTGGGGTACCAGCCAGAGTTACAGGGGTGAGAGGATTCACCAGGTACAGAGTGGGGCACAGAACAGGCAGATATACTGAAATACACTGGTGAGGGGAATAGTGGGCAGGTCTGGAGAGGTCTGCCATGCCTTGTGGGCCACCCCCGATGACCCAAGATCGGACTCTTGCTCAGTGGCTGCAACAGCCTGATAGTGCAGAGTTTTAACCTGTCACGACACCAGGGAGGGCCCTCTCTTACCTTTTTCAAGAAAAAATATTTTACAAAATATACCAAAAAAATGAATATGTATGGCTAAAAGAATTATAATCACATTAGCACCTCTGTACCCACCATCCAGCATAACAGTAGAATATTAGCAGTACTTTAGATACCTCTGTTCATTTCTTTTTATTCACTGGTAATTTCACTTCCTTGGTCTATTTGCCTTTATTGTTAATTTCCATCTGGCATTTCTAAGTCTTGGGAGAATCAAGGTCTCAACAAACTGGAAAGACTTCTTAGAAGATGTAATAAATGAAGATTAACAGTTAGCCAGGTGAATGAAATGAAGTAAAGGGAAAGTGTTCCAGATAAAGGAGAAAGATGCTACTAGACAAGGTTGAGAAACAGTACTAAGCCAGCATGCGTGTGTGCAACACATGTGTACATACATGTACATATGTATGTATATACATGTAAAACACAACCTAGTAATTCTTAATCTTAGTGGATGAGGGACAAGGAATGGAAATATAGAGCTGGAGGAGGAGAGAGCCACATCATGAACTTGGCTTATAACCTTTTGGTCTTGGGGAAACTTTTAGAATTTTAGTAAAAGAGGGACAGAGTTCAATTTGATTTTGTTTCTCATTCTCATACCTATTTTTAGAGGTTAGGTGTTACTGGAAGTTTGACTTGACACAATCATTCAAAATAAAACAGACATGAATCACTCAAAATAATATCAATTGATAGAAGTAAAATAAGATAGGAAATTTTAATTTATAAGTAATGTTTTTTGTATCTTATTCCAAAAATAATTTTAAGCCAAAGGATTAAGCCAACCCACATTCACAACCCCTCTTACTTTCCTGTCATCCTTATCTTACGTTCATCCCCCTCCAGGAATACTGGATACATTTCTCTACATGCTTATTCATTTTGTAATTCTTGTTTTTCCCTTTTGTAACTTGGTTTCTTTGGCACTAGCAATAGTTAATTAGATTTTCTAGAACCAAAAATGTATTTAAAAAGTAAAAGCCAGAACTTTATCAGAGTAAATGTTACCTTTCAGTTGAATTTGCTTCTGTTTTATAGAGTAATAATCCATTTCCATGTATAAATTATGAGAACTCCATAAGAAATGCCATATTGAGGCAGGAACTGCACAGCAGTTATGTACTTTCAAAAATGAAGGCCACAGTTTAATAGGTACCGAGTCTATGTTTGTATTTCAGTTTTTCCATCTCTTAATTGAAACATTTAAGGAGCATTTTGTGGCTTTGGATATTTGAAATATGTGGGATACCCATATTTGGAATGGTTCTTTCTGAATTGTTATGGTGAGAAAAAGGAATTTATTTGCTTAAAATAATAACATTTTAATAAGGGATCGGTGGTACTTCTGTGACCTAAGTACTGTTTCATCTTCATAATAAGGGGATAGCAGTGGGCAGGAATGGCTTATATGGTACACGTAATCTAATTTATAATGAGAAAATCTGGTCCTTTGGAACCAATGGGATGAGTCATTCCGGAAAGTTATTTCAGAGCTTTTACCACTTTAAGCCTCCCAGAATTTCTTTTCTGTTTTAAATAATTTTGAATGGAAATCTTTCCAAATGACCGTGTGTATTTTCTTGCTTTGCTTTTTTAAGTGTACGATTCATTATTTTTTCAGTATGTTTACAGAGTTCTATAATTTTCACCACAATCTAATTCTGCCTTTGCTTTTAATAAATGAGAGGCAGGTGTCACACATTTGCCTTGTGCTGTTACACTTGATTTCCTTTAGGCAGATTGAGGTGTAAAGTTTAACCTCTTCTTTAAGTATGAATAATCTCAGACTGCTACACTGTCTTTGTTCCTGTACAAGGGAGACATAGGTTCTATTGTTTTTTATTTTGCTTGCTTAGAATTTAGTCAGATTGGCTTGTTAAAATTGTTTAGGAAATAGAATGATACAGGGGTCCTGTTGCATTAATTTTCATAACAGTGGGATAATTCACAGGCACACAGTTTGCCAATTTAAAGTGTTCGATTACATGTTTTTTCAGTGTACTTACAGAATGGTGCAACCATCATCTCAGTTTTAGAATATATTCATCATCCCCCTTTCCCCCAAAGAAACTTGTCACCATTAGCATTTACATTGTTTTCCTCTGGCCCTAAGCAACCACAATATATTACATTAACTTTATTGCACTTTATTGCATTAGAATCTCTTTTGTGACTTCTTAGGGTCTTTTGCTACTTCCCCCCTCACCCCCTCTTTTTTTTTTTTTTTCAATTCTAGGTGGGTGAAATATTATTTAAAAAATTAACCACCCCTACTTAAAACTCAACATGCTGATTCTGATGATGTGTCTCCTTTGTTAAATCAATAAAATACTTGCATTTGACAACTGAGAGAATACTAGACTTATCTGTGACTTTGTCTCAAAATTGCAGAATAAATGGAAAGCTTCAGAATAAATTAAAAGCTTCATACAAAGTATCTTTTAATGTAATGGTTATTTTCTAACTTACAAGTATGATTTTGTGTGTGTACCATTTAACATAGGATTAGTGGGGAAATTTGTTTGCTTCCCAAGTACTCAGTGCATACTTAGATGCTGAACATTATACTATGGTTTTGAAGAAGGTTTAATAAAGGAGTATGACAGATTCTCTTGTCAGTTTACATTCTCAGGGTACATAGATTCACTATCAGACTTAAGTACTGAATAGCATATAAAAAGAAAAGATCATTATGTAGTGGACTGATTGGAGGGAGGACCCATAGAGGAACTAGGACTTAGCCAAATGAAGAGGTCTTGCAAAAGTAAGGCAAAGCATCTTCTTTATTCCGAGACATTCCAAATAAGAGTAAACATACAAAAGGCATAGAATCATAAATATGACCCAAGAAAAATTGTGTTTCAGATTTATTTGAATTTTTGCCAGAGGAAAAGGCTACAACAGCATTCCTGTTGCTGAATCTTCTTATTTTAGGAATATTCTAAAGAGTGCATTTAAATTTATTAGTGTATGAGTATGTCCAAGATGAACTTTTATAAATATCATGGTATTTAATTAAACTTAATTTCTTAAAATTATCTACTTAAAACATGTTTTTCAGCCGCCTGTCTTGGTTAGATGGTTCTGGATTAGGATTCTCACTGGAATATCCCACAATTAGTTTGCATGCTGTGTCCAGAGACCTAAATGCCTATCCACGAGAGCATTTGTATGTTATGGTAAATGCCAAATTTGGAGGTATGTATGGTGTATTTTAATCTTGAATTTCATTTGGTAGTATATGTTAAAGAGTGGTCTTTGTAATAGTTTATTAAGATTTCAACACAGTAAAATAATTGGAATACTGCCTTTTATTTTCTATATATTTATACATATTGAGTTACTGTGGATTTATATTTCTAGCCTTTTTGAATTTTATTTCTATTTAAATCAATAGAAAAAAATAGCTGAGGTGACATCGGTGTACAGCACTGTATGTGACCTCAGATGTGTGTCACCTCACCAGATCTACCAGTAGGGAACCCAGTCGTCACCGTGGTCTGTTGTGCCCTCTCCTCACTTTGTGTCCTTCACATCCCCTCCCCCTTTTGTAGCTTCAGTTCTATAGTCAGATTTCTAGGGTTTGTCATTGGTTTGTTGTTGTCTGACTCTATTTCTCTGTATTTTACATATAACTGCAACCATCTAGTATTTGTCATTCTCCTGACTTACTGCAATATTGTTATCCCCTCAAGTCTCATTCGTGTTTCAAGTTTTTTTAATAGCTAAGTGGTAGTCCGTTGTGTATATATACCACATCTTCATTTACTGTTTGTCCTTGACTAAGTGGGTTGTTTCCAAACTTGGCTATTTTAACGGCCAATGAACAGAGAAGTGCTTATATCCCTTCAAATTGTGTTTTTGTATTCTTTGAATGGATACTTAGGAGTGGAGTTGCTAGAAGGTACCTTAGATTTACTTTCAATATTTTGAGAACCTGCCATACTGATTTCCCAGGGGGCTGAACCCAGTCTGCATTCTCTACATCCTCTCCAATACTTGTTTCTGTCCTTTTGTTAATGGCATTTCTTTAAGGCTTTGGTTTGCATTTCTATAACAATAATTGATTGATGAGCCTCCCCCCCACCCCATCCCCAGCCTATTGGAAGTCTAAATCTTTTTAAACAAGTATCTATTTAGCTCTTCTGCTAGATAATGCTAAATAGGTTTTTGAATGGGTTATTTTGTCTTATTGATTTATTTGAGTTTTTGAATATCAGCCCATTGAATACACAATGGTACTTATATTTTTTTCCTTTATATTGAGGTAATATTAGTTTCCACACTGTACAGATCTCAGATGTACATTTTCTCACCTAAGTAACTATATCACATCGCTATTGTTTCTAATAGTTCCTTTCAGTGTTTCAGTGTGCAGAAACTTTTTAGTTTGTTGTAGTCCCAGTTTATTTTTCTTTCGTTTCCCTTACTGCTGGAGTTAATTCCCAAAGACATCCCTGAAGCCAATATTGTGGAGTGTTTTGCCTGTGTTTTCTTTTATGTATTTTATGGTCTCCCATCTTATAGCCAGGTCTTTAATCCATTTAGATTAATTTTTGTGTGTTTTATGAGATAACAGTCTAGTTTCATTCTCTTGCATGTTGCCCACTTTTCTCAGCATCATTTATTGAAGACTTTTCTTTCTTTATTCTATACTCTTGGCTCCCTTGTTATATATTAACTGTCCCAAAAAGTGTGGGTTTATTTCTGGTCTCTTCGTTTTATTTCCCCACCACAGTGTTTTGAAACTAACTTTCTAGTGTAGTTTGAAGTCTGGGAACTGGTACCCCGTTCTTTTTTTTGTCAGGATTGTTTTGGCTACTTGGGGTCTTTTGTGGTTCCATATAGATTTTAGTAATGACTGTTCTGTTTCTTGGAAGAATGCTGTTGACATTTTCATAGTGTAAGGGGTAAAGGATGTCCTGAATGAACTCTACAGATACAGGTTTTATGGACTCCCACCCCAGACACTGGAACTACAAATCCCATCAGTACCAAAGAGAAGCATGCTGGGACCTGAGGGTGGGTTTAACAGCCAGATTTGCATATCAAACCAGACATGTGGGCTTCAGGGGTCTCTTGGCTTCATGACACTCTTGCGGTTGGTTTCTTCACCGGCTTCCAGCATGCGTTGGGGTTCCAGGTCAGCAGAACTGGTAGGACGTATTAATTTATCTCTCTCTTTCTCTGAGTTATTCATTTCCCTTGTAAATAAACCCAATATTAACTTCTTTGTGTGGGTTTACAGTTGTGTGGACCTACGGGTGAGGACCCACAATCAGGCAACCTCATTCACATTGGCTTGCCCTGCAACAGTTTGGCACCCAGCATGGTCAACCTAGTTACACCCATGGCTGACCAGCCCAAAGTACCTTCCCTTGTGCTGGCCACCATAAGAGCATTAGGTCTACAGGACACATAGAATCTTTGTTTCAGGTCTTGAGACATTTGTTTTGTTTTGTTCTTTCCTTGTGTTCAGTTCGCACTTGTGGGTGTGTTTTAGCCTAAACATGGCCTCAAATTTGTGTTTAAGTAGCTTTATCCCTAGCTTGAGTTCTTTGTTTTCTTTTGGCCTTAAGGTTAAAATATCACCACCAGTTTTATAAACAAATAATTTGGTAAAAAGCCATCCCTACTTTACAATCCTTACTTCTGGGTGTCTTTTTGGTACTATGTGTCAGTGTCACTTGCTACATTCTTGTTTCTGTAAGAGGTGGATTCTCTACTTGGGTTGCCCTGTAACTGTAGGATTGCATTGGATTTTTTGTATATTGCTTTGGGTAAGATGGCCATTTTCATAATGTTTAGTCCTCCTATCCTTGAGCAGGGAGTATCTTTCCATTTCTTTGTGTCTTCTATTTCTTTTACAGATTTACTTATGTGTACAGGTCATAGGTATGTGTGGGGTGTGTATGTATGAGAGAGAGTGGGGCGCAGAATAGGTAGATTGATGAAGTACACTCCTGAGGGGAGCAGTGGGTGAGACAGGAGACGTCTGCCAGGCCATGTGGGTCAGTTCCGTAGCCTGGGATGAAACTTTTGGCTGAAGCAGCCTTGGCTAGCTTAAGAAATGTTGTGCTTTAACCTGTTGCGCCACCAGGGAGTGCCCTTCCTAAGATTTTTTTGAGGACAGGAGAGGTCTGCTGCACCATGTGGGTCAGCTCACTGGCCAGGAATTGAACTTATGCTGCAGTGGCCGCTGATAGTTTCATAGTGCTGAGACTTAACCCCTGCACCACCAAGTAGCCACTCCTCCAAGTCTCCCCCCGCCCCAACACACACACCTTTTTTTGTCTTGGAATCCTTGGTAGTATCACTACTTCATATTTCTCTCTCTTCTTCCTGGATCCTTTGTGCATTAATATCTTTGAGTGTGTGCATATGATATGTGTGTGTGTAGAACTGGGTGGTGGTGGGTAATGAGAGGATTCATCAGAAACAGCGGGGAGCAGAATAGGAAGATTTACTGAAATACATTGCTTAAAGGGACCAGGGGGCAAAATAGGAAGGTCTACTAAGACATGTGTGGGTTAGCTCCTTGATCTGGGATTGAACTCAGGCCTTAGCAGTGATAACGCTGAGACTTAGGCCACCAGGGCGGTGCCACTAATGTCTGGATGTACACTGATTCTTCTACCACTTGCTCTGAGATTTTTTTTTTTCTCATCTTAAGCTTTTTACTCTCTGAACCTGTTTTTTTTTTTTTTTAAACTTGAAAATATTTTCTGCTTACTGATACCCCAATTATTCACTTTATTATTCAGTGACCTCCTAAGGGGGTGGTGGGGGTGCGGTGAAAGCTCCTCAGTGCCTCCACACTTGTTCCCCTTAGTCAGAGGTATAATAGTGCAATACTATTTAGCTCTCGCATCCCAGGGTCCCTGGCTCTACAGCTGGCACCTCTGCTGTCAGTGCCCTATCCCAGTGCTACAGCCTCTAGATGTTTCTCTCTGTGACTCTCTTTTCTGTCTTTGTTACATTCTGTGTTGATAGCCAATCGCCAAGGGGTGTTCCTGTTTTGACCTGTGCCACAGGACTGTCGGGGTGGTGTCTGTCTAGTTACTGGTAGCTGATCTTGGAGCAAAACTAGATTCGCCTCTGATTCTATCTTCGTCAGGCCTCAAAGCCACATCCAGTAATTATTAACATTTTTTTAATGGTAACTTTAACATAGAAAACAATAATTTGTTTTCAGTATTACTGGTTTTGAAGTGTTTTGATGTTTTGGGAGTCTATTTAAGAATTATGTCGACTTATTTAATTATGAAACAATTCAGACACCTAATAGCACAGAGTAATAAATTTCCATTATTCAATATCTAGCATGAATTCTAATATTTTTTACAATTACCTAGAAAGCTGTGTCTATATTCTCCTTTTTGTACCCCTCCCATTTAATTTTCCTACTTTTTTTTGAATGAATCTTTTATTTTTTAAAGATTTATTTATTGATTAACATACAGAACTGGGGTACAGGCCAGAAGTGCAGGGGTGGTGAGAGGATTCACCAGAGACAGAGTGGGGAGCAGAGTAGGCAGATCAACGAAGTACACTGCTGAGGGGAGCAGCGGGTCGGTCAGGAGAGGTCTGCCATGCCATGTGGGTCACCTCCGGGGCAGGGATCAAACTCACACTGAAGCAACTGCAGCTGATTTGCAATGCTGCATCTTAACCTGTTGCGCCACTAGGGAGGGCCTTTCCTGTTTTTATCCAAAGTTAAACATTCTAAAGATGGTGTGTGTGTGTACCATAATGAGTGCAAATATTTTGTTTTGTTTGTAAGTGGTTATTTGTATATTCTGCAGTTGGCAGATCTACTTATTAATTATACTTTTAAATCTGATCATTAAGTCATATTCACATCTAGCTGCTGTGTATTTATAAAATAATATGACAAGGCTATAGGTTACTTATTTTCCTTCCCCCCCCCCCTTATTTTCACTAGTATATGTGGTACTTTAAAAACGTTCAGACTCCTTGTGTACAGAATATATACTTAGGTGAGGAATGCTGGGTAGTAGGATATATATATCTCCATAGTGGTTGTAGTAGTTTCCACTTCTACCAACAGCTTGAGTTAGTTCTCTTTATGGAATAGTATATATTTTTCCTTTTCTATAAACTTGCCTAATTTATTTGTTGGGACGGTTAGTTATTATGGCCTTTTTTTTCTCATTTGTCGTTTCTCATGTATCATGTGAGTGGTTTGTAAACTGCTCCTGAATCTTCTGTTTCAGGGTGAAAGATAACAGAAGCAGGTGCCCTGACTGTTTTCTTACCCCCACCTTGACCCTATGGGGCTTGAAATTCCAGGGCTCTGAGTGAATAGACCAGAGGCAGTATCTTTTTTGTTCTAAAAAAAAAAAAAAGTCTTTTTTATCTCTAAAATAAGCATGTTTTTACAGTTGAGGTGAAAATTGAATTGTAGTATCTACATATGTCAATGAACACCCTTTAGAAAATTCTTTTAAACTTTTAAAAAATATGTAAATAGCATCATTAAAAGGTTATTTTTATTTTTATTACTTTTCTAGAAGAATCAAAAGAATCTGTTGCAGATGAAGAAGAGGAAGACAGTGATGATGATGATGACATTGAACCTATTGCTGAATTTAGATTTGTGCCTAGTGATAAGTCAGCATGTGAGTGTCCTAGAATTCATTCCTTTTTATGCATCAAAAATTCCCCCATTGACAAATACATGCTTACCTTTACCCTCATTTCTTCCATTCTATTTCTTTTCTTTACTTTAGCATCTGTAATATTACTGAACACCAGATATCTATGATTATCAGATTGTTTATGTAGTGAGAGTATGGCAGACATGTTATTTGGTATGTTTTATAAGTGGAGGAATCTGGTTATACTTACTGATTTGATGTAATTGACTCAGTATTAATGAATCAAAGGAGGCAAGGCATTTCCAAAGTAGAAGATGTCAGGGTCACTAGGAAGAGCCCTATCAGCAGGGAGGGCCTTCTCTCTAACCAGAACTCTTACTTTTGTTCTTAGAAAATCCAGTGAGGCATGAAGAGGTCATTAAATGAGCTCTTAATTATTTTTAAGATTTATTTTTATTATACATACAAGAACTGGAATGTAGGCTAATGGTGTTGGAGTAAAAGGATGCACCAGAGAGTTGGTAGCAGAACAGGTGGATTTACTGAAATACAATGCTGAGGGGTGCAGTGGCAAGACAGGAAAGGTCTCTTGTACCATACGTGTGTTAGCTTCCTGGCTGGGGATTTAACTCGCATTGCAGTGGCTGGCGACAGCTTGATAACACAGACTTTAGCCCTTACACATCAGGGAGGCCCTGTCTTAATTTTTGGGATGTGCCCATTGCCATCCTGTATTTTTATTATTTTTTTAAGATTTATTTATTTATACAGAACTGGGGTACAGGCAAGAGATGTGGAGGGTGAAAGGATTCACCAGGAACAGAGTGGGGAGTAGAACAGGCAGATCGACGAAGTACACTGCTGAGGGGAGCAGCGGGCGGGTCAGGAGAGGTCTGCCACGCCATGTGGATCTCTTCCTGGGCAGGCGGGGATCGAACTCATGTGAAAGTGGCTTAAGCTTCTTAGTGCAGTGCTTTAACCCGCTGCGCCACCAGGGAGGGCCCACCATCCAGTATTTTTAGTGTTGATCCTACTTGGAATTTGGCAGGTTTTACAACTGTTATCTACCTGTTAAACTTATTTGCACTGGTGATTATTGTGTTAAATTTTTTATTGTACATTGACCAAAAAAAATTCTAGTTTCAGTTTAATTTCTTTGTTCAGTGGAGGCACTGTTTACTGCAATGTGTGAATGCCAAGCTTTGCATCCAGATCCTGAGGATGAAGATTCAGATGATTATGATGGAGAAGAATATGACGTGGAAGCACATGGTTAGTAAAATGGATTTTTAAACTCTGTGTGTGTGTGTGTGTGTGTGTGTGTGTGTGTGTGTGTTTTAGTCATTTATTTGAAGTAAGGGCTATAATTTAGTTCTTTATGTCCCTATAAAGTATCTATATGGTATAGTTATTAATAAAAGTGAATGGCACAATTCATGTCTACACCAAAATTAGGACTTTCCAAGCTTCAGGTTAAAATTAGAAATTATTGAGGGCAGAAAATGGGTGGAGATAATAGAAGGAAAGAAAATGTTACATGGACAAGTAGGTAGGCAGGTGACTCTTAAATGAGAGCAGCTACTGCTGAGAACGAGCCTCTCTTCCTTCACCACTTGACCTGCATTATCCACAGCATTATTTAACATATTTCTTCAAGTAAATCACTGCCAAAGTCATTTATTTTTCAGAGAGAATTTCCCCTTGTCTCTCCAACCCAGAATGCAGTCATTAACCTGCTGGGATTGCATAGTTTGAGGTGCATGTCTGCTGTTCTCTTTTCTTTCTCAGTAATCTTCTATGCATCAGTCTCACTGCCCAGTGCCCTTTCTTCCATATGTACTCACTTGCTGGCCTGAGATTCTTTATATATCCAAGTGTGTCATCTAAATTCTCATCCTTGCTGAGATTTTGACATAATTTTTATTTCATCCTGTTTGTATATTCTAGGATTTATGATTTTTTTTTTTTTAAAGATTTTTTCATTTATGCATACAGAACTGGGGTATACAGGCCAGAGATGCGGAGGGTGAGAGGATTCACCAGGGACAGAGTGGGGAGCAGAGCAGGGAGATCGAGAAAGTACACTGCTGAGGGGAGCAGCGGGCAGGTCAGGAGAGGTCTTCCGTGCCATGTGGATCTCCTCCGGGGCAGGCAGGGATCGAACTCGTGGAAGTGGCTTAAATTTCTTAGTGCTGTGCTTTAACCTGCTGCGCCACCAGGGAGGGCCCAGGATTTATGATTTTTTAAAAGGAGCACATATTTTAATCAGGAAAGACTTGTCAGTGCAAATTAATTTACACTCGACTGTCAAGTTTTCCACTTCTGGCTACTGTAAACTCCCTGACCACAGGAACACCTTGTTTTCCTTCTGGTCCTTGTATATGTGTCTGCTAATTGCTATTTACTGGTTCATTATTTCTTGGAATTCCTTCTCATCCTAGAAGATACGGACATTTTCTTTGTTATTTCTGTCTTCAATAGATGCTTGTTACATGAATGCTTATTATATGAGTATTGAGAATTTTTCTTGCAACCTGTTTTACTTATTTTATACTGATTACTCAGTTCCCCCTCCCCCATTACTTTATAATAGCTTAATAGCTTTTCATTTGTTTAGAACAAGGGCAGGGGGACATCCCTACATTTTACACCTATGAAGAAGGATTGTCCCATTTAACAGCAGAAGGCCAAGCCACATTGGAGAGATTAGAAGGAATGCTTTCTCAGTCTGTAAGTAGCCAGTATAACATGGCTGGAGTCCGGACAGAAGATTCATTAAGAGATTTTGAAGGTAAGTATCCTTCTTTTTCTTCAGTATAAATAGTTAGGTGATCATCAGGGCAACAAGAGTAGTTGAAGAAACCTGCATACAGGTTTAGAGGTTCTAAAAGTTTAGAGAAACTCAGAATTAACTATAGTTTGGAAAGCAAAAGTAAAATTATGTAGAATATAATTCTTATGTCTTTTTTTAAAGTTTTTTTTTTTCCCATATCACAAAGATAGTGTGCAAGTCCAAAATCTTT